AAAAGATGCTAATATTAAGATAAAATTATTTGTACAAAGATGATACTAGAGTTTAATATTGGTTTTATTAATAGGCGTTTGTTTTAAAAAGAACTGTGATAATCGTTCTATTTTTAAACAAATAATATTGCCTTGTTTAAACACCACAATTTTCTATATGCTCTTCTCTCTCATCCTGTCTCGCTCCTGTAGATTATTATGGAAAGGCTAAGAGATTAAAATATTGATGTCAATATATTATTTTTAAATTAGTTTAGAAAAACTAATAATTTTAATCAGTTGATAATGACATTTTTAGGACTTAGTGTCTTAAAATTATTGTATTTGCATTCCTTTATCATATTTTTTAGAAAATTACTATAAAATTTGATTCTGCCAAGTGCTTAGTTTATCTTTGCTTTTACATTAAAATACTGTTGTTTTATTTCTCCTCCCAACCCTTTCTCCAATCAGGCTTCAATGCTAGCTGCAGAAAATGACCCATACGGGCCTTTGCCGCCAGGCTGGGGTAAGCTGATATGTTGTTGGTAAAAATATCTGCGAGGTATATATAGCAAATAGTTATTAAATGCTGTGCTCACTTTTTCAGAAAAAAGAGTAGATTCAACAGACAGAGTTTACTTCGTGAATCATAACACAAAAACAACCCAATGGGAAGACCCGAGAACCCAAGGGTACGTATATTTTACAGGTTTAAATCGTCTTACACGTATCTGCAGCAGAATCAAGTAAACCTGGATTCAGATGTTTTTAGTACCTGGAAAATGTTCACGCTGTGATTGTAGCTTTATCTGTTAGCTTACAGAATGAAGAACCCCTGCCAGAAGGCTGGGAGATTAGGTATACCCGGGAAGGCGTCAGGTACTTTGTGGATCATAATACAAGGACAACAACATTCAAGGATCCTCGCAATGGGAAGTCATCCGTGTAAGTGAAAGCCTATTTATTTCTGTGAGGACGATCAGCCCTGAGCTAACATCCATGCCAATCCTCCTCTTTTTTTTGCTGAGGAAGACCAGCACTGAGCTAACATCTATTGCCAATCCTCCTCCTTTTTTTTTTTCCCCAAAGCCCCAGTACATAGTTGTATGTCGTAGTTGCACATCCTTCTAGTTGCAGTATATGGGACGCAGCCTCAGCATGGCGGGAGAAGCGGGGCATCAGTGTGCGCGCGGGATCCGAACCCGGGCCGCCAGTAGCGGAGCGCGCGCACTTAACCACTAAGCCACGGGGCCGGCCCAGCCTGAAGTTCTTAAATGAGGTTTAATGAGGACATTAAGTTTAGCTCTAATTTACCCTAAAATTTTACTTCTGGATCAAGAAAACGTACACAAATAGTACCCCAGAATACCTGTCTTTGCTCCACCTTATTACAGAATGGATATGTGGCACATAATTCCTTAATAACTATAGCCAATGTTTGTATAGTGATTATGTGCCGTGGATTGTTCTCAGCACTTCATATATATTAGCGCATTTTATCTTCCAACAACCCCTTGAGGCAGATAATATTATTTTCCCTTTTTCAAGTGCAGAAGCTAAGGCTTAGGGAGCATAACTTCTGCAAAATCGTACAGCAAGTAATGTAGCTGGTTTCAGACCAAGGCAGTCTGTCTGCAGTCTCTGCTCTTAACTGTCACATCGTGCCGCTGGAATGTCAGGCAGTGAGATGTTCAACAAAACTGAATTTTCCAGATAAAGGTATCTTAATTAGAGCCGGCCCCGTGGCTTAGCGGTTAGGTGTGCGCGCTCCACTGCTGGCGGCCCGGGTTCGGATGCCGGGCGCGCACTGATGCACTGCTTCTCCGGCCATGCTGAGGCCATGTCCCACATACAGCAACTAGAAGGATGTGCAGCTATGACATACAACTATCCACTGGGGCTTTGGGGGGAAAAATAAGTAAATAAATAAAATTAAAAAAAAAAAGGTATCTTAATTAAGCATTTGACAGACCTCTCCTTCATCCTTACTCTTAGGCATGATGTCTTTGCATCATTAAGAAAATAGAAGCAGTCAGAAAAGGTCTTTTGCAAATTCCTAACATCACGTCTACCCACCTCCCAGCATCTGTCTTCCCTCTTGATCCTGCAGATGAACTATTGCTGTTCCTCTCAAGGGCCAGTCCCTCTGCTGATGCACTAGGTCCTTCCCCTCTTCCTTACTCTGGCATTTATCATCTTTCTGTCCTCCATCCTCAGTTTTTCTTTCTCTGCTGAATTATTCTCATCAGCTGTTATTCCTCCTAGATTAAAAAAATAATAATAACTCTTCACCTTACAGATCCATTCTGTGTAAATTCATCTTTATTGCTGCCCTACCCGAAAACTGCCTGGAAGAGTTGTCTCTATGTTGCTCGTTCTGACCTCTCTCAGACCTGCCACCAGGAAGTCCCACTGACCGTGAACTTGATCAGGGCACCAGTGGCCCCCACACTGTTAGTCCGAGGGTTGGATTTCAGTCCTGGTTCATGTGACTTATCAAGAGCGTTTGATACATTTCTCTTTCCTTGCAAAAGCAGTACAGGGACTCAACTTTCCTGATTTCCCCATGCTTTTCGGGTCTTATTTCCTCCTCTGCCTTGCGGGCCCGCCTTTTCTCTGCAGCCTCTGTTGAAGTGCCCGGAGCTCTGTCGTTAGTTCTCTTTTCTCTACACTCGTTCTCTTAATGAATCTTATCCAGTGCCATGCTTCTTTTTTTTTTTTTTTTTTTGCTGAGGGAGATTTGCCTGAGCTAACATCTGTGCCAGTCTTCCTCTATTATGTATGTGGGACGCCTTCACAGCATGGCTGACGAGTGGTATAGGTCTGTGCTGGGGGGCTGGCCCCAGGTGTCATGCTTTTAAAACACATCTCTGTGCTGATGACTCACAGATTTTTACCTCTAGCTCGTACTTTTCACCTGAAGTTGCACTTCCTATTTCAGCTGCTCACTTGACGTCTCTACTCAGAACTGCTTCCTGATAACTCCCATAAAACCTGTTCTCCCAGGGCTATTTCCCGTCTCGGTTGATGGCAACTCCACTCTTAGGTGTGCTTGGACCAAAAATCTTGGAATCATCCTTGACTCCTCTTTCCCTCTTACCTCATAGTCCATCGAGAACTCCCCAACTTCAGAAGAGATCGTGAACCCAGCTGTGTCACCACGTCCACTCTGCCACCTTGGTCCAGCTACCATTGTCTCTCCCCTGGAGTGGTACCTTTGTCTCTCTGCTTTCTACCCACACCTCGTACAGTGTTATTCTCCATAAACGAGTGAGACTGATTTTTTTAAAAAATTTAAAAAGTCATTCCTTTGCACAAAACCCTTCCGTGATTTCCTTCTCAATCTGGGTGAAAAGTAAAATCCTTACGGTGGCTCCCAGGCCTCACAGCGTCTGAGCCCTGTTCGCTCTTCAGCCTCACCTCTCTTTTCTCTCCTCCTGTACTGCTCCAGCCTCACTGGCCACCCAGCTGAGCCTCAGACACCTGAGGCTTCTGCCCCTGGGTCTCAGCTTGTATTCTCCCTGCTTGGTGTGCTCTTTCCCCAAATATCTGTGTTGCTTAGCCCTTCCATCGTTCTGCTCAGATTTTACTTTGTCTCTGAACCTACTCTGTTCACTCTTCTCAGAATTGAAAAATTCTTCTCCCCGTGCTACTCCTTACCTTTTTCTTAGTGCTTTCTTTTTGTTTTTGAGGAGCGAGAATAGTAAGACATTTATTCCCTTCTTACACACTACATACATAGTGTACTTACTCACTCTGTTTCTTGTCTGTCTCCTTCACTAGCATGTAAGCTCCACGAAACAGGTATTTTTATGTTTTGTTAACAGATAGTGCTCTCACTGTCTAGAAGAGCACCAGGTGCATACTCTGCAAATATTGTAAATATTTGTTGAATGAAGTCACTTGAACCCGACACACAAGAGAACATTTTCCATCCATTCCAGAATGTTCTCTGGGGGGCTGGAAGTTCTTTGTGCTTGTCTCTGAGGCTTTCGCTCGGTGGGCACAACTCCCCGCTCTCTCAGTGTGGATCAGCCTGTCCCTGCGTGCTGCCCCCGCTGCCTCTTCCTCCCTGACCAGCTGGGCCCGGTGACCTGGGTGTCACCTGTGCCTGGGAGGAGTTTGACTGTGCTTTCGACCTCCAGCAGTATTTGTTTCAGGTTCAGATTAGGTTTAAGATGTGGTAGGATCTCCTTTCACGTCTCTTCTGTCTAGAGCCTCTGTGCTCCTTAGGCTTAGGGATTATCAGAGGTTTTCTTTGAGATAGGCAGTGATAGACTTAAAGATTCTGTTTAGCCGACTTCTTCACGTGAGATCCGTCCACATGTGCGCTCACCCTCTCTGGGTGTGTGTCGTGTGTCCTCACTGCTCGAGCAGCTATTGGCCCCTAAATAGATCTTTACTTCTCTCCCGGAAACTAACTTTCCTGAGGTCATTTCTAAGACTCTGGAAACACTCCAGTTTCATACTGAATATTAAATATCCAAGTTTATTGTGAATTAATATATGGTTTGTTTTTGTTTTTCTGTAGAACTAAAGGTGGTCCACAAATTGCTTATGAACGCAGCTTTAGGTGGAAACTTGCTCACTTCCGTTATTTGTGCCAGGTACTACAGTGGTAAATAAATCTTGTGTTTATAACCATTTAGTCTTGTCTTTACACAATGCATATACTACAGCTTACATGATATTATGATGTTATTTCCGTTTTTAGTCTAATGCACTACCCAGTCACGTAAAGATCAATGTGTCCCGGCAGACGCTGTTTGAAGATTCCTTCCAACAGGTAAGGGAGATGTTATCAGAAGAAAACAGTACGATTGGTCTCGTTGTAGTCTATATATCTAAATGGATTTAGGGTTTAGAAATTGTAAACCATTGAGAACCCAACTGTCACAATGACTATGTATCACTCACTGAATGTCCATTATAACGGTGTGTATTAAGTGATTGCCATATTCTTGGCACTGGCATCTTATATTTATCATTTCATTTAATTCATCTTCACAACATCCCTTTGAGATAGTTCCTATCACTATCTCCATTTTACAGGCAGAGGTACTGAGGCTGAGAGACACAATTATTCTACCATGAATTAGATTACTCAAATAAAGCTTAAACAGCTTCTGGAATAAGTTGACACATTTTGATGCCTACTTTTCTAAGACTTTATTTACTCAACCAAAAAGGTTTTCATAATGCTACCAAATTAAAATTAAACTGGTATAGATACTATATTCATTCAAATATTCCTTTAATAACCCTAATTTTAAATCTCACCTCCTTTAGCTTTCTGTTTGAATGTCATGATCTCAGAGAGATCTCCCCTGAGCACACTGTTTAAGATGCCAGCTCCTGTGCACCTCCCTCACAGTCCGTTCTAGCCATTTATGTAGTTGATTCTTTTTTCTAACACTTAGCACCACCTAACATACTTTGTCTGTCTCCCTTACTAGAATGTAAGCTCCATGAGAGCAGACTATTCTGTTCACTGCTGTTATGCCTACCACCTAGAATAGTGCCCTGCACATAGCAGGTATTCAGTAAATATTTGGTGAATGAATAATTGCATGTAGTATGTCTACCTTTTCTGAATCATCTGCAGAATATTTAAAGATAAAAAATCAAAATATTATCTGTTCTTTTTTTCTGATGAGGTGGAGAATTTTTCATATAAGTCTTCTCACTCTCCTCCAAAGTATTACAGGGGTGAACCAAAATTCCCCATGTATACAGGTACACAGGGACTGTTACAATCCAAAATGGAATAACAGTACTCTGAAGTCAGAGACGTTCAAATCCTAGCTTAATTTTATTGGCTGTTGAAGTTGTGGCAAGATATTTAATATAGCTATTAAAACTTTTTTTGGTTTGAGTTAACAAATTCTTAGCTTGTTCTAAGCTCTGTTTGAGCTTTATTTAGTAATTGTACATCTGAATTTATGGTAGACTTGATTCTGTTTTGTACTCTGGCTTGGGGAGAATCATGGTCTCTTGATGTGAAGACTGAGCCCCTGAGTGCCTCTGCTGTTGAGGCCTGCTGGTGCACTGTCCCTGACCCAGACGTGCCAGGCTTAGCTTTGATTCTGACACGTGTGCTGGAAGGAGTTCATTTTATCCAAAAGTAAAGCCTTAACCTTAATGTAAACCATTAAGGATTATGAAAATTTGGCATAGGGATTGTTTTAAGATATACTTTCTTATGTACAACTTCATTGTCGTATGAATAATTCTTTGCTATATAGCTGAGTTCCTTTCCTATTGAGAAATGGAATGTGTGGAATAAGCAGGTTCCAGAACAAGATCTTTTGCTTCTCATTAAGTGTTGCTAGTCAGAAAAATTGACAGGTTGACTCTTATACGGTTTTGGTAAAACTTGGGGAGTGATGGGAGGAGGAAATGTTTAGAAAACCTTAAAAGCTTTCTGTGTCAAACTCCTCCTCTCTTGCCACTAACCCAAGTAGAACTACCATTTAACACTAGAAGAGGGGAAGGGATTATATGCGAGTGAGACAGAGAAAGCTTCATAGAGTAAGATACATAGTTAGCAGTTTGTGGAACAAATCAGTTATCTCGTGAGTTAAAGGCGTTGTTGTAGGAGATGAGGAAATGGATAATTTTGAAAATACAGATGAAATTTAAATTGAATTGTTTTGGAAGAAACTTGTGCTGTATGTGAGTGTTTAAATATCCCCGTTTTTGCTTTTACTTAGATAATGGCATTAAAACCCTATGACTTGAGGAGGCGATTATACGTAATATTTAGAGGAGAAGAAGGACTTGATTATGGTGGTCTAGCAAGGTAAAATAAAAAACACATATCTGCTCTGAAATAAGTGTATCCATTATATGCAATGGATGTATTCTTGATATATTTTTTCAACAGCAATCCAGAATTATTTTTAAAAATAAAAGTTAAGATATTTGCACAATTCTAGAGGTAACCAGTATTATTGCTATCTTGGTTATCCTATACATTTTCTCTGCATTTATATAATTAGTATATATGTGTGATATAGTACATATTTGCTGTTTTTTTTAAAACAGTTGATCATTCAAACCTGCACAATATAGTGACTTGATTTTGTTATTTTATATATCGTGAACATCTTTCTGTGTCATGTGTAGAGCTAATACTCTCTTTTTATTTAATGGCTGCACAATATTCCATTGTATGGAGATACCATAATTAATGGATCAGCATGCATAAGGTGGTTCCTTATTTTTGCTATTATAATAGTTTATGTTGGTTTTATGTTTGTTTTTAATCCAGTCTGAGTCCTTTTGAGAATAAAGTTTTCCACATTCAGTAAATATATTGTTAACAGTAAACAGTTGTGAAGCAATATAAGTGGGAAATCCTTTTAATTTTTAATTTTTTTCCCTCAGTTACTTTGCCCATACCTAATTTGACAGCAATTTATTTTTTAGCAAAACACTTTAATTAAATGTTTCCAAAGAAAAACTTGCTTTTCACAGAAACAAATCTTTCTTTGAACTCATATTTCACAGTTGTACAAAATTACAAAATCACCAGTATTGTACAGCTAGCAAAAAGAGATGCAGGACTAGGCACAACTGGTGGGGGCATATGTGAGGTTATCAGAGTTTTGGTTATATTAGCATATTTTCTCATCCAAAATATTAAGCAGCTTTTTCAGCAAAGAAACACTACCGATCACGATAAGTATTCATGTCACATTCATTGTGATTTATCTCAATTTCAGAAATGTTCAGACATTAAAAAGAAAGGTACATCTTAGAAATGAAATATGGTATTATTTTTACAGTGTCTGATTTATAACATTCACATTCTTGTCTGAACTCTTATTTGCCACAACTGTTTGGGTTTAGTTTTATATTTTGATGGTTTTGTTGCATATAGTCACGTACTCCACACCATGATTTTCTCACTTGCAAATTCTTTGTTTTTATTCATGTGTTGGTTTTGGTTTATTCAGGAGATCACACGGATGATACGTTCCTGTAGTTTTGCATGTTTGAGAATGTGTTTCTGTTGCTTTTGTGTATAGACAACAGCTTCGCTAGATACGGATTTCTTGCACACACTCATTCCTCCAGTCCTCTGTGGATGTTGCTTCACTGTCCCTTGGCATTGAGTGCCAGCACTGTGAAGTGGGAGGCTGGCCCTTGTAGGAGACTTTTTCCTCTGAGTGTCCATGCAGTCCTTTTTCTTGAAGTTTAATTTTATTGTTAATTGTTTTATATCTTTTTTTAGGAACATATTAAGATCTTCCTTATTTTAAGGGAAATTTTCTTCTATTATGTCTTTGAATATTTTTTCTGTTCCATTTGTTCCATTTTTCTTCAGGAACATCAGTCATGGGTATGTGGAATCTCCTTTGTCAGTCTTACGTGTGTGTCATCTTTTCTCTCATCATTTTTATCTTTGTGCTTTTCCATTTTGTTTTCATTTTTCTCAAACCTACCCTCATGTCACTGTTTGCAGTAATGCCCTAAGTTTTGCTGCTTCTAATGTGATTTTTCTTCATTAGTGATTTTACCGTTTTCTTCATTTTCTTCTTAGGCTCTGCTAGCTCACCTGTTGTCTCACAATTTTCTCGCCTCTTGTATCTCTTTACCTTATTGAGAGTACAGAGAAGGATGTGTTGACAGTGGGCTCTTCTGCGTCTTGCTAGTTAGAATCTTTCCTTCTTTTCTGCTAGTGTCAGGGTATAGATTAGATCCCATGTTATAGTCGTTCTTCTTTTGAATGTACTCACTTTTCTCTGAGCTGCTGTTTGCTAAAAGTGATCTGCAGCAACTGGAAATTTTATTTCTGTTTTTTGTGTGTCTAAATGCATTCTTGCTGGATGTGTCCAGTCCTCTTCCCTGGCGACATGTCTAATTTCAGCCCCATCACAGCAGAAGGTCACCTTGGTTCAACTGCTCTGTTGGGACTGGATTTAGTTTTATAAATTGGTGTTTATCATTCTTAGTTGATTTTGTGTAGGGACTCCCTTCTCTACCCTTCAGGCAGTTTCCGAGATTGTAATTTAAAATCTTTGAAAAAACATTTGTAAACAGGCTGCCAGGCCAAACCTAGACTGCGGAGTGATGCCCTCCATTGTGATTTAAAATTTTTTTAATTACTTGGCATTAAAGAAAATCACTAGATTGTGCTCAAGAATTGATATTTCTTACGCATGTTCCCAGCTTCTTACATGGCATCAGTTGGCTGGATCAGAATAGCTGCTTCCCCTGTAGGGTAGTGTACACTCTTTTTTGCTTCTATGCCCACCACTGCCCAGTCATCTAAGGACTATGATTAGATGCCCATAAATAGTTCTTCCATAAAACTGATAATAACTGTTATCGGGAATACAATGAGGAATGGGGGATTGTGGTTAAGAGGAGAAAGTGAGGTCCATGTAGAGAAGGAAGCACACTTTACTCACTTAACTGACCGCTGTAGGCGTTGGAGTTTGGAACCGTGCTTTAAAGGCATTGCTGTTGAAGAGAATCTTGCAAATTGAGTTTATTTTGTAATATAAATTATTAATCTTTTATCTAGTTGGATTTCATATATTGGACTTTTTTAAATGAGCCAACATAGGTGGTAAATAGTTAGAGAGTGCTTATCACATTTAAAGATTTTACCTTTTTAATTATAGTTCCATTTTTAATGTATTGACAAAATTAAAACTGTTCCGTAGTGGTAGTGCTGTGTACCTCAGTATCATCAGCAAGTCTTGATTAAAACTTATTGCGTATAGGTCTTAGAATGCTTGTAAGAGTTAAGGATACAAAAAATATATAAAGACTTGGCTTTTGCTTTTGAGGAGCTTTTTACAGTCTGGTGGATGGGGCAGGTCATGTGCAGAAAAATGAATAATATTGTGAGGTTGTTACCACAAAGTGTTTAGTGACTGATACAGATAATATGCTGAACATTGCTGCGGTGGGATAGACCTCAGCTAGATGTGAAAGAACAAGTGGGCTCTACGTGGGCTGAGGGGACGTTGGGGAGACATACCCAAACAGGAGGATGGCATAGAAATAACCTGCTGTATGTGAGCAACACTGCAGGAACTGGCAAGTAACTTTGAGTGGAGGGCCAGATCCTAGGAGGACTGGAATGGAGGGCTGAGGGATCGGGCAGCAGGTTGTTAAAGGCTGTTGAGCAGAGGGATGGTGTGTGTATGGATGTATTTAAGATCTGTTTTTCAATTCATGTATATATAAATGCTAAAAAATAATCTTGACTTATATTTTCTTTTAGAGAATGGTTTTTCTTGCTTTCACACGAAGTTTTGAACCCCATGTATTGCTTATTTGAGTATGCTGGCAAGAACAACTATTGTCTACAGATAAATCCAGCATCAACCATTAATCCAGACCATCTTTCCTACTTCTGTTTCATTGGTCGCTTTATTGCTATGGTGAGTCCTGACTTTCTATTAGTTATTTAAACTTTGCTTATTTCAAAAGTATTTTAGAGAGGACTTAAAAAAATGATACGGCATTATCCTTGATTTTGTTACCAAGGATGTTTGCCTACGAAGAGAGTATCAAAATATAGCTTATTTTTGGAGTACCTGTATGCAATCAAGATTATGAATATGAGGATTATTGCTATAGCCACTTAGTCTTTAAAAGTCCTTTTATTTTATAAATTACAGCCTAATTTTAATATATATGTAATATATAATAAAAATATAAATAATTTTATAATATATAAAAGTATAATAATATACTTTTCTATAAAAGGACAGTCTGAGTTGTGTAATAATTGCAGTTGATTGCTGTATCTGGAATTTTCAGAGCTATGCTAAAGCTATTCTGGGACTATTATCTTTTGTGAAGTGTTTGTGTTTATTTATTTGCGCTTTGTTATCTGTTAATTCACTCAGCAAATATTTATTGAGTGCTGACTACAGTATCATAGTATGAGAGAGATGAGACCATGGAAAAAAGACACATTCCTTGCTCTCAGGGGTCTAAATTCTATTAGTGGGAGACAAATAATAAGTAAGTATGTGCTGAGGGAAAGGGAATGTTGCTCTTTTATATAATATGATCAGAGGAGGCCGCTGACAGGTAACACATGAGAAGAAGCATGAAGAAAGCAAGGAATTGAATCATGCAAATATCTTAGAGAACAACATTCTAGGCATAGAGAACAGCAAGAAAAAGGCTCTAAGGTGGAAGTACATTTTTGATTGAAAAATGGCATGGCTGGAGCAAAGTATATGTGAGAGAACGTGGTAGGAGATGAGGTTGAGAGATGCTGTGTGAAACCTTTAGGAAATTCACTTAAGGGTTTTGAGCAGGGAGTGACATGATCTCAGTAACATGATCTGACTTTGATTTTATTAAGCTTACTGTGCTGCTCTATGGAAGAGAGACTGACTGGGGGCAGAGGAAAGCAAGGGTAGAAGCAGGAGAGCCATTTGCAACAGTCCGGGTGAGGGATGAGCGTGGCTTGGACTGGAGTGTGTCGCAGTGGAGGTATTGAGTAGTGGTTTGGATTCCGGATCTATTCTGTAGTTAGAGCTAACGGTTTTCTGACAGTTAGATGCAAGGTGTGAGAGAGTCAAGTATGGTCCCAAAATTTCTGGCCTGTGTGTCTGATTGCAGTTGCCATTTCCTAAGATGGCGGGGTTGTGACGAGGGCAGAGATGTCTGTAGACGTCCACGTGGAGATGTAGAGTAGGTGGTTGGATATCCAAGTCTGGTGATGCGGGACGTCTAGGGAAGGCTGTGTGATCATTTAAGGAATAAGTGTGGACAGAGAAGAAGTTTAAGGACATTTATAAGAGAGGGAGATGAGAAGGAACCAGCCAAAGAGCTGAGGGGGAGGAGGTAGGAGAATCAGATGAGAATGGTTCTCAGAAGACAAGGGAAGAAGGAAGTGTGTTTCAAGAAGGAAGAAGTGCTAGCTGTGTTGGGTGCTGATAAGTAAGCCTGTGATTTGGCCAGGTGAGAGATACTCAGGAGCGCTAGAGAGGAAAGATTGATGGGAGTGATTCAAAAGAGAATGGAAGGAGAGATGGAGACAACAAATATAAACAAGTCTTGAAAAGAAAACATTTCTATACTGATAGTGATGATCAGCTAAGAGGGAAGAATTTGATGAGGTCAAAGAGAGAAGGAATATGTGAGCAATGACCTTGAGTAGGAGAGGGAGGAAGAGATCTGCTCAGTGCACATGGTAGTAGAGAGCTTATCCATGATGAGAGTAGATAGGGCAGACGTGGTGGTTCTCTTCTGTTTCCTCGGTGAAATAGAAGGCAAGATCAGTGGCTCAGAGTGAGGAGTGGGGAAGGGACGTGTCTGAGGAATGAGGTCGTCGTCGGGAGAGGGGAGAGTGAATGCACTGGGGAAGTGGGATCACCAGGCAGCACTAAGCTCTCGCATGCAGTTGTTGTCATGAACTGGTCAGCATGGTTGTACATGCATTTCTAGCACGTTCCGCTGCCCAGGCATGGGCATGGAGTAGGTTGAGAGTTGTGTTTAGCTAGGCTTTGGATTTTGCCAGAAATACACTGCAGAGAGGCAGGGTTTAAAGGTATACAAGGGAGTAATTTTAATGATTGAGGGTGGAATCTAAACTGAGTAAGGGGAGAAATAACTTCCTGAGGGGGCTGAGAGACAGTGACAGGGTAGTAGGTTCAGTGGATTTTTTTTTTAGATTCCAGTGGGGTCAAAAATTGCTGGTCTTACTGCTAAAGGCAGTGAACTGGACAATTAGGTGGTGTTTGAAATCGAGTTTAAGAAGGAGTTGCATTATTGCTAATAATAATATCTACAGTGTGGTGCTGAGAATGTTTAGCTAAGTTAGAGTAAAAACTAAGATCCTTGGAAGGACTAAAAAGCCAAAATAGTAAAAGAATCATCAGTGTGGGTGTTGAAATCTCCAAAATTATGATGGTGGTGTAGAAGAACACGATATTGAAGGAATAAAGAGGAGAAACCAGAGATCTAAGGGTGACCGCACAGGCGGGGGTGGGAGGGGGTTGGTAGCCGCTAATGTAGTGTGATGGCGTGAGCTTTTAAGGCTGGGGCAGGTGTAGGGAGGAGGAGTTAGTAATTGGGAGCAACACTCGCCCCACTTCCAGGCCTGGTGACATGAGTGGGTGGGAGAGGAACAGCCACCCCTTAGAGAGGACTCCAGGGGAAGCAGAGTCCTCAGAAAAATGCCAGATTTTTGCTACAGCAGGATGCTAAAGGATCTTCAAAGAAAGAGTTGAGGATGTGGGGGATGGATCATGGGCTCCAGAGGGCAAAGCAGAGTAGATGGTTTGGTAGTTTGGGGATGTGTGGGAAGTAGCATCGCCTTTCAAGATACAGGCAGCTGGTGGTGAGAGTCGAGTACCGAGGTCTGGGGCTTCCTGTGTAGCCTTGTGAACAGCAGTGAAGGCACGATGGGGTTAGTCCTGAAAATCTCAGCAGGGTGAGATGAGAGGGGAGTGCAGGAGGGGTCTTTCCAGGGGTCTGTACAGGGGGCCCTCAGGCTCCTTCTTCATTTCTGCGTCCAGTTAGGTTACTTTAATTTATACAACATATTAGAAAGAGGGTGTTAGTAAAGCTCCTTTATCATCCTCTTTTACAGTTGTTGACAGGACATGATATAGCTAAGTGTTGGACCTTAGTTAAATAGATGTTGTTTTAACTCTGTAATTTGTTTTTCAAACAGCAGTTTATATAATATTTTAGTTTTCATGATTTATGCTGATTACATATGAAGTGCTTTTTTTGCCTGTAAAGCCTCGTGATTTCTCTCTTATCATTGTGCTCTGAATAAGAAAATAATTTTGTAAAGTTTTAAATAAAAATGTTTGTTTTTCTTGGCAGGCACTTTTTCATGGAAAGTTTATTGATACTGGTTTCTCTCTACCGTTCTACAAGCGTATGCTAAGTAAAAAACTGACTATTAAGGATTTGGAATCTATTGATACTGAATTTTATAACTCCCTTATCTGGATAAGGTTTGAAGATTTATCTTTCAATAAGGCATTTTCTTGAAAGCAATTTATATATCTTGTTAATTAGTGGATATATATCTATATCACCCAGAGACAACAACATTGAAGAATGTGGCTTAGAAATGTACTTTTCTGTTGACATGGAGATTTTGGGAAAAGTTACTTCCCATGACCTGAAGTTGGGAGGTTCCAATATCCTGGTGACTGAGGAGAACAAAGATGAATATATTGGGTAAGGTGTTCTACCTGATTGACCTTAATTCCTAGAGCTTCTAGAGCATGTTAGACTAACTTCTCTATCTGTACCCTTACTTTCATCCCCTGCTCGCTCCCCTGGGGAGGTGTTCACATCCTTTCGCTCTTTCACTTATCCTTTTTAGTCACTGTCTCTCGACTCAGTCTTCCTCTCAATTTATAAACATGCTCCAACAGTCCGGAAAAATTCAAATGCACTAAAAAAACACTTCCCTTGCCTCTGATACACATTTGAGTTCTTCTCTGCAGTACCAGTGTTGTTGAAATAAGAGAATCTTGGTGACCCTCGCTTTCCCACAGCCACTTGCTGTGTGCATCCTACCTCTGTCCAGAGAAGAAATCGTGGAACACTGGTGCTGCGAGGGCTTTGCAGAGACTGTGCAGCCCCTTCATTGCTAGATGAGGAGACCGAGGCGCGCTGTTGGGTAGTAGGAAAACCAAGTCTGGGAACCAGGCCTTGACGGGCAGTCGAATGCTCATTTCCTCTTCCGTCTTACTTTCCTCTCTTAACCTACTCTTTCAGTAGCGCTCACCACAGCCTCTGTTTTGAAACTCTGTGTTCTGTTGAAGTCCATGATCCCACACCGTACTGATTTGCTTCATCTTCTCTTTTAATAATGGTTCTCTAAATCTCCGTGTCCTAAATGTGGATATTTTTCCAAGGCTCTTTATTCAACCTGCTTCTCTAAATAGTCTGCTACCATGGCTTCAATTTTCTATTAAAGTAATGCCTGAACTTTAGAAATAAGTTTCATTT